AACAATCTACGTTCTTTTCTTTCTTGCAGATGAAGAAATCGATGTTGTATCAGTCAGTGACAAGAAGCTACCCACCAATCCATCGGATCGTGATCGTCGCGCCATCGAACACAAAGTTGGCTATAGGTTCTCAACAGCGCGAATTGTCAAGAACCCCAACGGCATACGCACCATACCACCACGTCGCCGCGGCTCCTACACTCTACCTTACACACCGGCCAGCAGTAGTCCGGTGAAGTCAGTTTCTACCTCACGTTATCCTTCACCCTCAAGCACACCCTATCACAGCGGTAACACCACCACCTACGCCAACAAATTTATTCTACAACAACAGGCTAACGCACTAAGCACTGACGCCAATAATGGACATTGTCATATTATCACTAGCAGCGCTGATAAATCACGTAAGCGTCTCACCATGAACAGCAGTGCCAACAGCAGTGCTGACGTCAGTCGCGATCTGGATTATACGTTGCCGCCGAGCAAGAAGCATCGCGGTAAGAAATCTTGTTAGAACTATGAACAAGGTATCAGAATAGCTGAGAAAAACGCTTATTAAAGGTGGATGAAGCATAAATTTAACCAAACTGTTTTATCCTATCACTTATGCCAATCAGCGGCCATAGTCTTTGCGCAATATTTCAAAATATGCGATAGCATCTAACAAATCATATAATAAATTGCTTTCCAATACAAGGGTGCCGAACAACAACCATGAATGGCAGGCAGCTTTTCCTAGCGCGCTTGAAATCGTGTGGGTACCATGAACTTAGAAATAACGCAAAATTGTATCAGACAAAAAGTTGAATCGCATATAAATCAACAACAGACGTTTGACACCACCCTTCGTGAGGCGACATGCCAACATACATACAATATTGAAGGAGGTAGATACATGCATGTATAACCCTGTAAAGTCACTAGAACACGTTGAAATTTATGTGGAAACATGCTTAGCCCAAGAAAAATGTATAACCAATGCAAATTGAACAATATATTACAAGCCAAAAGAAAAAATGTGCGGAAGCACAAATCAGCGTAAACAGACAGTCAACCACCCACTCAACAGCGCTGGCACGAGCGAGCACAAAACTACTACATATGTACATACATATATATAATGGCTATATGGATGACCGATATGCTTCACGCGTGTTGAACATTAAATGTAAAATGTCAATGGCTTAACTCTTTTCTTCATGGTGGCCACCACAGTTAACCACCTAAATTTTGACGTGTAATTAAAGACAGCGCCATCTTACGGAAACAGTGTGTGTTGAAACGTGTAAATAAACAAGCCGTGCAATTCTTGTCAAAAAAATATTTGAAACAAACTACCGCAACTGTCGTTTACAGTTATAAAATTTCATTCGAAATCGCGAAATTCAAAGTCGTGAGTATGTGTGAAAGTTTTTTCTTTGCTGGTAAGCAAATACAATATTTTGTCGTTTATTTTTGCGCAAAATACGTATTATATTACTGTTAGTATAGAATCAAACTGAAATTCGCTAAAATTTTTACAATAAGTGTACTTATTCAAAGTGGTTAGCAGCGGTAACCACCGTTCGGTAAGTAGCTAAATTTTACGCGAATTTTTGGTGAAGTGCAAGATAGAACTAAAATGTGTGTTTTTTAGAGGAAATGGCCAAGAAAAATTTATCGGATAAGGAAATTGAAAACCTATTGATGTATGAAGAAATACCTTCAGATACTGATAGCTTTGCGGGTGGTGATGGATCTGATAGAGATCAATCTAAAATCGAAGAAATCCCTCAAGGTGAGCAACAGTTATTACTAGGTGAGGATCTTTTTCCATCGGATGAGGAGTTTGACTCTGAGGACGAAGTTCCATTATCCCAGCTGCTTGGACGTATTCAACCCGCTACCCAAGCTGTTCCGCTACTGGCCCAAACCGTGCGGCCTCCAAAATGGAAGAAAGCTTATACAATTTTAGCTCCTGATAACTTTACAACTGCAAGCAATTTGCCGGACGAAACAACTAGTCTAGCTGCAAGCCAACAGATGACCCCCCTGAAAATTTTAAATTTGCTTTGGACGGATGACATTATGCAACACGTAACATTTCACACAAATCTATATGCGGAACAAAAAGGAGGTACTTATAAACCAGTTGCTGCAGATGAGATGCCGGTTTTTATTGCTCTGAACTTAGTAATGGGCGTGAAAAAAAGTCCAAGCTATAGAGACTACTGGTCATCCTCACCTGATTTGCGTGACGAATACATATCACATTTTATGTCACTCAGCCGTTTTTCATGGATTCTTGGAAATTTACATCTAAATGACAATAATCTGTTGCCTTCACGAAACAATCCCGATTACGATAAGTTGTATAAGATACGTCCTTTCACAGAAATGCTACGAGAATCTTACAAGAAAAATTACAATCACACAGAAAAAATTGCTATTGACGAATCAATGATAAAATTTAAAGGTAGAAGCTGTTTGAAGCAGTATATGCCGAAAAAGCCAATAAAAAGGGGTTACAAGGTGTGGACGAAGTGTGCTTCTTCTGGCTATTGTTTAGATTTCGATATATATTCAGGAAAAGTCGGAAATAAAGTGGAGACTAATTTAGGAGGCAATGTTGTCAGAAAATTCTGTGAGGGATTGGCAGATAAAAACCATAAGGTGTACTTTGACAATTATTTTAACAGCTACGAACTGCAAGTCGATTTACGTCAGAAAAACATATATGCATGTGGAACAGTAAATGAATCTCGTAAACATCTTCCTACTTTGAAATCTGACAAGCAATTGAAGCGCGGGGAATACGATTATCGAGTTAGTGACAATCAGATGGCTTCCTTCATGAAATGGAAAGATAAACGCTGTGTTTTGATTTTGACTAATTTTCATGATCCCAGAAATGAGGTTCATGTGAGAAGAACAGAAAAAACTGGAGAAAGAGTCGAAGTGCCATGCCCTCTAGCCTTGAAAGACTATAATGAAAATATGAATTTCGTGGATAAATTCGACCAGTTGAAAGGTAGCTATGCGATTGACCGCAAATCAAAAAAATGGTGGCACCGCATATTCTTTCATTTTATAGATTGCACAGTGGTAAATGCTTTTATAATCTATAAAGAGCTACAAAACGACCCTATGTCAGGATTGGATGAATTGTGTCTCAAGAACTTTAGACGACATGTTTATCAGGATATGCTGGCACCTGCTTATATAAACAATAAGAGAAAATTGTCGCGGACTTCTAGCAATTCTGCTTCACCTACTTGCTCTTACGTCAAGAAGCACAAACCTGAAGTACCTGGAGCAATAAGGCTTGCTATGGGTAACCATCAGCCTATAAGAGGCACTTCAAGACGCTGCAGTGTATGTAGCACGAAGAACATGCCTGTGCGTACTGTATGGAGCTGCAAAATATGCAAGGTACCTCTTTGCTACCGGGAATGAAAAGAGTGTTTTAATTATACCAATGAACATTTGTAATACTTGTTTTGAATAAATAATAAAATTAAAAAAAATTGTTTACTTATTTCACAGTGGTTACCATAGCTAACCACCTTATTACTCACCCCCCCGCTGGTGCATTTAAAAAAAATTGCGTTCATGGCTTAATTTGAACCCGGACAAAATACTATATTAAAAATTTACCATTCTATCATTGCCAACAAAAAACTGTGCCGGAAAGAGTTAAGGGCCAAGTAACTTTAAGTATTGAATAATATAGGAAACTGACGCAGGCAGTCAAGCGAGTGTGTGAATAGTGGGGGCGACGGCCGCCTACAGACGTCAGCG